ATGATAAAATTAACTTGGAAGCTTTACTGAGGCCTTGAATGTTGTAACCCTGATCAAACGACATTCGGAGCTAGATTTGTATGACGCTCTTTGGAAGAAAAAACATGCTCGATTGTTCCACAAAAGTTGTGAAATGTAGACACCACGGCTGGAGCTGCAGGATTATAAAGGGTAAGTTAACTATGGAAAAGTTTTTTTGGGTGTCAAGGAATCTTTATCCATAGATCTAAGTATGAAACAGGTGAGGTGGTTTCACTGGTAGCTATTATTTAAAGCTCAGGTGGGTAATTCAGCGGAAGGGAATTGGCTATTGAAATGAAACATGTTCTGGCAAATGTCTGTACACGTTCTAGATGACCTGACGAGCTGTAACGGGTCCGACCTGGAGACCTTCCCTGTGTTTTCACTCGGAATCTTTATGCATAGTTCTAAATAGGAAACGGATGAGTCGGTCTCACTGGTCTCCTTTATTTCTAGTTCAGGTAAGTAATTCAGTGGAAGAGAATTGGCATTCTGAACTATATCATTGTAGGATTGTCATAGCCAGGGTGTTGTACCGGACATGAAGGAGTAAACGTTTGACAAATGTCTTTGTCCTTCTTGTTAATATAGTTCTTAATGTAGCCTCTTAAACTATGGAAAATCATAAAAATCCTTCAACCTGCAGCAGGCCCCCCTTCTAAGTCTTTATCTCCTTTTAATGATTGGAAGCTCTGCTGCTGCTGCTATGCTTTCCAGTGACAGATATATCTCACGCTCACCAAAACAAAAAGACCCGTCTTCCCAATTCCAAAAAGGTCCATTTCAACCCTCTAGCCGTCCTTATCCGCAAAACATACATGTACGGCTGTTCGCATGCAGGAGACAAGACAACCCTGCTCGCTTCCTCTGCCATGACCCCCCACCCCCCTCCATCACCACCACCCCCAGCAGGTGAGGATGTGACGACTGGTGATTAGACTGTCATCAGTATCAGCATCTGCCGGACCTAATGGCAGGCCATCACGATGGAACCAGGCCATAATTTCCCTCCCCTATACCGGCAATCTATTTCAAGGAACACTCAAATGTATTCCGTTCCCTAAGTAGTTAATGACCCCTGGTTTCACCCGCCCTATTAGCATCCAGCAGGGTAGTTACCACTGAGTAATAGGCTGACCAAGTGCGCTGTTTCCCAGTGCTTAATTTCCACCCTCGATAAAATGATGGTAAAGTAAAGGCTCCACTCATCTCTCAATCAATACATCTGTGGCGACAAATACCATCACTCTGTACTGATGGTGGGAAGGTTGTGACCGGCCTTGACCCGACGGCTCAGTGAGACAGAGAACCGTTGAGCCATTCACCTGGATGAGTGTAGGCCGGAAGGAGACGTCCAAGGAAGACAATACGCAAGGCAGTTGACAATCCTCAACACGTCTCCATTCAAACCATTAAAAAAAATCAGGTCTGAAAATTATATTAAACAAATTACTCTAGCAGTTGAGCATTATGTGGGTGGGGATATTGTCTTCACGTATTTGAAAGTACGTTGGAAGTTACTGAAGCAGAGTTAATTGAGGAAAAGGTTCTAAATTTAAGTAAACAATAAAAGCGAAAGCTTGCAGGAGATCATTGAAACGATTAAGTTAATGTTTACTACTGGACATCTGGAAAGGATTTTGTGATATTCAGGTGATACTAAATGTGATTGATTGCTTGGAAATTTCATCCGAATAGTATTTAATATTGACATAAATTTCGACCATTCTAAGCTTGATCACGCGTTACAATAAACAAGTGCATACACTGTTTCAATAGTTTCACAACTTTAGTTAGTGAGTGAGTGAGTGAGATGGGTTTAACTCCGCTTTTAACAGTATTCTAGTTATATCGCGGCGTGTCCGCTTAATGTGGGAGGAAAGCCCGAAGTGATGCAGGTCTCAGACGTTTACCACTTCGGTGAAACCCACGAGCACGGGTATGGTGCTGACAAACCTAGAAACATAATCGGGGCGAACCGGGATTCGAACCCACAATCATAGGTTCCTGGCGTGCCCAAGGAACGCAACTCTTCACAGCGACTTTCGGCAGCTAAGACGACTGGGCCACCCGTGCCCCCTTAACAACAGTGAGGAATACATCGTACCTCTATAAAATGTTGAGCTGTAACTATGATGGAAAATACGGTTTATACCATGTCTGTAAAGTAAACGGATACACTCAGAAGCTGTGCCTCGAGTTGACCTTTAGGTGGGGATAATGCCATCCCCTTTGAACGCTGTCAGATACACGGGGAGAGAGATGGGGGGTGTAGTAAACCCGTGTTAACAGCATTGCTTTCCCTCAATAATCAACATAAACATGGATGTAGTGTAAGAGCTATTCTAACTTAGAATGTAAGAAATGCTTGTAAAGAATCCCTGACTGACTACCAGATGTTCAAATTCCCGCTTCTCGGAGGGTTGCCTCCACAGCTACCTCTACAGCATGGGCCAGCTCTCCAGAACCTGCTGTGCTGTATAGTAACTACGAGGCGCTCAAGTATTTGCTGTGCTATATAGTAACTATACTAGGCGCTCAAGTATTTGCTGTGCTGTATAGTAACTATACTAGGCGCTCAAGTATTTGCTATGCTATATAGTAACTGCTATGCTCTAAAGTAACCACATTTATTTTTAGTAAGCACTATGCTCACAAATAATTGGAATACTATAAAGTAACTGATATGCTCTCAAGTAGTTGTTATCCTATAGAGCAGCAACAGATTCGCTCGCAAGTAATTGTAATGCTCTGTAGTAAGGCCGGATATGCCATCAGCCCTCTGGTACCTGCTTTGCCTTTATGCTGTCAAGTAATTGCTATGGCATATAGTATTATAACTGCTATACTCTCGAATAGTTGCTATGTCTTTTAGTAACGGTTTTCCTCTCAAGTAAAATCTATGATATATAGTATCTGTCATATGACATCAAGTAAGTGCTATGCTATAGAATATTTGCTACGCTTTCTAGTACAAATGCTCACAAGTAATTGTTTTGCTCCCCACTAAATGCTATGTTCTCATGGTGTGAAAGGGAGAGTCTTGATATATGTTACGAAGGATACACTGGTTGAAACCGTTTGGTAATGATTGCTGAATTCGATTTATTTGTGTGTTCTTAAACGCTGCACTCAACAATATTCCAGCGATATGACATCGGTCTGTAAATAATCAAGGCTGGACTAGACAATCCAGTGATTGACATCTAGAGCATCGATCTAAGTAATTGGGATAGGATGTCAAGCCTGACCACCCGATCCCTTTGGTCGCCTCTTACGAAAAGCGTAGTCGCCTTTTAAGACAATGGGTTGCTGGAGGCCAATTCTAACCTGGATCTTCAAGGATTACTGAATTCGAAACAAAACTACTATTCCCCATCACTCAAGAATTCCGCTTTCGCGTTTATTTCATCATTATGCAATAGAATGAACAAACGCCAACAGTGAAATGTAGATAGAAAGAAACGCCGATTCGAAACCTGTAAATATTTCACATTTGAAACCTCAAATTTCGTATGAAAATTTACAGGTATCAAATCTACGTTCGCAATCCTAATTGAAAACCTAGAATGTTTATGGCGTAATTTGCTACATTAACGACATGTACAAGTTACGGCACTTCTGGTGTTAACTTCTAGACACAATTGCTATGACAATCTTCCTATTGGGATTTTGACATAATCAACTGAATCTTCTTTTCAAAGGCTTCGAGTCGAACAATTACATAGCCACTGCAATTAAGTCTAATACATTGTGCATATATACCGGCTAGTTTTACACATGACTATGTGTTTACACCGTGAGCCGAGCTTATCTGACAGTCGCTGCGGGAACTGTATGAACCTGTATGCCTACTGTCGGACTTCTCCAATCTCGCATCAAAGTCAACATTATTGAAACAAACGAGAAGGATAAAACGAAACCGGTGAGACATCTTCTCTTAAGTCTGTCTATTGATCTTTTCATCAGGATATTAAAACGAGAAGAAAACCTGTCAGTCCGGCGTTCATCGTCGGCATACCATCGTCTGAGAGTGGGTACTGGACACGCCACTCCAACTCACAAGAAACGAGCTCCGTGGTATGGTACATACTGTCATATAACATGGGCGGCAGTCAACAGCTCGCGGAGAACGTCGTTGATGTTTTTTCTCAGCCGCCGTGATAAAGTGGAGGGGTTTTGTTTCTGTAATGGAATTCGTTCGCTCTGAGCTATGTCATTACTCAACGTTTTCGATATAAGATGCTTCTTCAATTACGGAATTCAATCTATCAACGCTACTTGAGAAAATGTTCTTGTGCTGATGGAATCACCGGTCCTATAAAACGCCATTTGGAAGCCGTTCACGAACACCAAGCAATAAGTTAGTCCAACGCTCTTTGTTCGTTCTTTACGAAAACATTTGTTAAAGCGGACCTTTCTCTTTAAGGTAACAGTACACCTTATGTTTATTCACCCTTCAGTGAGGAGTGGGCGGACTGCGTTATGCATAGCGATATCACGTACTTTATAGAATTGTATGGAAATGTTGACTTAAAGATGTCACAAATCTGATCACTTATTTCTTGAAGGATAGTAATCAGATACTATTTTAATGACCGGCGTTTTGTATCACGCATGAAATGTTCCTGAAACCTACATTTACCTTAATGGGAAAAACGTGTTCTGTATACTAAAGGTAATAAGTTTCCTTGGAAATTCGACCACGAATTAAAATAGTACTTACTGAACGCTCGCCTAAGGTAGAAGCACTCTAATCGACCGTGACTACCTCAGCGTTACATATACTTCTCGAATTCCATACATGTAATGCAATCAAATTCAAAGCACAAATCGTGCTTAGGTACACTGTTCGATCACGTTTCCCTTCTCAAATACAAGCATGTATAGCTTACAACATTATTTGCCTCCCGAGCCGAACATCAAACAACAGCATCACTCAATGGAAACAGTATACAATACGAACACAAAGCACCTACCTATAGCTACATTCCCCTGACCGACTGTGAACGATGTCGCCCCCTTCACTGTCGTCGTTCAGTGTCGCCTCTCCCGTTCCTCCCGTCAGCTGACTATAACTAACTCCCGCATCCCCCAAACCACCACACGGATGTCAGCTACACGTAATTACAGCAGCCGCATCTGAGAGCACCCTGCTGCTACCGCGTCAGAGTATAGCGAGTTGCTCCGCCTTGAGGACTAGCTGCAGCAGCGAGGGCGAGACACCGACCATACCTGTGCGATCAGAGCGCTAGTGATGAGATTTGAGCGTGTAGTGGTGTTCATGATCTACCAGAGTTGAGCCTGATTTCCCTCCAATGTGAGGATTATGGCGTGGACAAATAAGTTAAGATTGGGAAGTCAGTCGGATGGGTCTCTTATGTCCACTCGGGATATTTTATTCATGGGCCCAAGATGTGGTGTCTATTGGGACGCCGTGGCGTCTCTATTGGAAACTGATGCCATCAAGTTGTTCGTGTTATTTCTGTGAGTTATTCATCTCGTGCTGTAGCATCGCACACAATTAGGTATTGTGTTGAAGTAACCTACACAATCAGGTATTGTATCAAAGGAACTTACATTACCAGATTGTGTTAAAATAACTTGCACAATCTGGTATTGTGTTAAGTGAACGTACACAACCTAGTATTGTGTTACAATATCTTGCATAATCAGGTATTGTGTTAGAGGAACTTACACAGTCTGGCATTGTGTTAAATGAACTTACACAATCTGGCATTGTGTTAAAATAGCTTGCACAATCTGGTATTGTGTTTTAAGTGTGCGCACGATCATGCGTGTGTGCGTGCGTGCGTGCGTGCGTGCGTGTGTCTGTGTTTGTATATTGTTAACTCCGCACTCAGCAATATTCAAGGTTTACGATGAAGGCTTAAAAATAAACACATTTGGACCAGACAACCCAGTGATTGATATTGTGAGCAGCTATGCACCACCCAAACTATTTGGTAGCCTCACACAGCCTGGTACACCATCGTACAACCTGAGATTTGACAAATTCACACACTTTTTCATGGTTTTATTGCAATTCAAACAATCAAATTTCACAGCTGTAAATGTATACCCGAATATCGGATACCTTACTTGGTAACGTGCGAAACTATCCATGGGCCCGGAAAACTATCTGAGATATCTGGTAAAATATGTATTAGCATAAAATTTTGTAATACACTTTGCAACCTATTCATGAATCCGGGATGATATCTGAGACACCTGGATCCCTATTGATGAAAAAGGGAGCCAAATTGCATGACAACAAGAAGCTATTCATGAATCCGGGATGATATCTGAGACACCTGGATCCCTATTGATGAAAAAGGGAGCCAAATTGCATGACAACAAGAAGCTATTCATGAATCCGGGATGATATCTGAGACACCTGGATCCCTATTGATGAAAAAGGGAGCCAAATTGCATGACAACAAGAAGCTATTCATGAATCCGGGATGATATCTGAGACACCTGGATCCCTATTGATGAAAAAGGGAGCCAAATTGCATGACAACAAGAAGCTATTCATGAATCCGGGATGATATCTGAGACACCTGGGAACCTATTCATGAAATAGAGACACCTGGAAAACCAGTCATGGATCTGTGAAGAACTGTCTGAGACACCTGGGAAACTAGTCATGGATATGAGAAGAACGGTCTGAGACACCTGGAAATCTAGTCATGGATCTGAGAAGAACTGTCTGAGATACCTGGGAAACTAGTCATGGATTTGAGAAGAACTGTCTGAGACGCCTGGAAATCTAGTCATGGATCTGAGAAGAACTGTCTGAGATACCTGGGAAACTAGTCATGGATTTGAAAAGAACTGTCTGAGACGCCTGGAAATCTAGTCATGGATCTGAGAAGAACTGTCTGAGATACCTGGGAAACTAGTGATGGATCTGAGAAGAACTGTCCGAGACACCTGGAAATCTACTCATGGATCTGAGAAGAACTTTCTGCGAAACCTGGAAATCTAGTCATGGATCTGAGAAGAACTGTCTGAGACACCTGGGAAACTAGTCATGGATCTGTGAAGAACTGTCTGAGATACCTGGGAAACTACTCATGGATCTGAGAACTGTCTGAGACACCTGGGAATCTAGTTATTGATCTGAGAAGAACTGTCTGAGACACCATGGAGACTAGTCATGGATCTGAGAAGAACTGTCTGAGACACCTGGCAATCTAGTCATGGATCTGAGAAGAACTGTCCGAGACACCTGGAAATCTACTCATGGATCTGAGAAGAACTTTCTGCGAAACCTGGAAATCTAGTCATGGATCTGAGAAGAACTGTCTGAGACACCTGGGAAACTAGTCATTGATCTGTGAAGAACTGTCTGAGATACCTGGGAAACTACTCATGGATCTGAGAACTGTCTGAGACACCTGGAAATCTAGTTATGGATCTGAGAAGAACTGTCTGAGACACCATGGAGACTAGTCATGGATCTGAGAAGAACTGTCTGAGACACCTGTGAAACTAGTCATAGATCTGAGAACAGTCCGAGACACCTGGAAATCTACTCATGGATCTGAGAAGAACTGTCTGAGACACCTGGAAATCTAGTCATGGATCTGAGAAGAACTGTCTGAGACACCTGGGAAACTAGTTATGGATCTGAGAAGAACTGTCTGAGACGCCTGGAAATCTAGTCATGGATCTGAGAAGAACTTTCTGCGAAACCTGGCAATCTAGTCATGGATCTGAGAAGAACTGTCTGAGACACCTGGGAAACTAGTTATGGATCTGTGAAGAACTGTCTGAGATACCTGGGAAACTACTCATGGATCTGAGAACTGTCTGAGACAACTGGAAATCTAGTTATGGATCTTAGAAGAACTGTCCGAGACACCTGGAAATCTACTCATGGATCTGAGAAGAACTTTCTGCGAAACCTGGAAATCTAGTCATGGATCTGAGAAGAACTGTCTGAGACACCTGGGAAACTAGTCATGGATCTGTGAAGAACTGTCTGAGATACCTGGGAAACTACTCATGGATCTGAGAACTGTCTGAGACACCTGGAAATCTAGTTATGGATCTGAGAAGAACTGTCTGAGACACCATGGAGACTAGTCATGGATCTGAGAAGAAGTGTCTGAGACACCTGGCAATCTAGTCATGGATCTGAGAAGAACTGTCCGAGACACCTGGAAATCTACTCATGGATCTGAGAAGAACTTTCTGCGAAACCTGGCAATCTAGTCATGGATCTGAGAAGAACTGTCTGAGACACCTGGGGAAACTAGTCATTGATCTGTGAAGAACTGTCTGAGATACCTGGGAAACTACTCATGGATCTGAGAACTGTCTGAGACACCTGGAAATCTAGTTATGGATCTGAGAAGAACTGTCTGAGACACCATGGAGACTAGTCATGGATCTGAGAAGAACTTTCTGCGAAACCTGGGAAACTAGTCATAGATCTGAGAAGAACTGTCTGAGACACCTGGGAAACTAGTTATGGATCTGAGAAGAACTGTCTGAGATACCTGGGAAACTAGTCATGGATCTGAGAACTGTCTGAGACACCTGGAAATCTAGTTATGGATCTGAGAAGAACTGTCTGAGACACCATGGAGACTAGTCATGGATCTGAGAAGAAGTGTCTGAGACACCTGGCAATCTAGTCATGGATCTGAGAAGAACTGTCCGAGACACCTGGTAATCTACTCATGGATCTGAGAAGAACTTTCTGCGAAACCTGGAAATCTAGTCATGGATCTGAGAAGAACTGTCTGAGACACCTGGGAAACTAGTCATGGATCTGTGAAGAACTGTCTGAGATACCTGGGAAACTACTCATGGATCTGAGAACTGTCTGAGACACCTGGAAATCTAGTTATGGATCTGAGAAGAACTGTCTGAGACACCATGGAGACTAGTCATGGATCTGAGAAGAACTGTCTGAGACACCTGGGAAACTAGTCATAGATCTGAGAAGAACTGTCCGAGACACCTGGAAATCTACTCATGGATCTGAGAAGAACTGTCTGCGAAACCTGGAAATCTAGTCATGGATCTGAGAATAACTGTCTGAGACACCTGGGAAACTAGTTATGGATCTGAGAAGAACTGTCTGAGACACCTGGGAAACTAGTCATGGATCTGAGAACTGTCTGAGACACCTGGAAATCTGGTCATGGATCTGAGAAGAACTGTCTGAGACACCATGGAGACTAGTCATTGATCTGAGAAGAACTGTCTGAGACACCTGGGAAACTAGTCATGGATCTGAGAACTGTCTGAGACACCTGGAAATCTAGTCATGGATCTGAGAAGAACTGTCCGAGACACCATGGAGACTAGTCATGGATCTGAGAAGAACTGTCTGAGACACTTGGAAAACTACTCATGGATCTGAGAATAACTGTCTGAGACACCATGGAGACTAGTCATGGATCTGAGAAGAACTGTCTGAGACACCTGGAAATCTAGTCATGGATCTGAGAAGAACTGTCTGAGACACCATGGAGACTAGTCATGGATCTGAGAGGAACTGTCTGAGACACCTGGGAAACTACTCATGGATCTGAGAACTGTCTGAGACACCTGGAAATCTAGTCATGGATCTGAGAAGAACTGTCTGAGACACCATGGAGACTAGGCATGGAACTGGGTTGCAATAGAAGAAACGTGGAGAGAAATTAGTCATGAAAAAAGGAAATTATTCAAAACACCTAGAAAACCAGTCATGGATCTGAAAGTTTGTCTGAGACACAATAGAAATATCTTTTTCAACACTACGCATCCTTTGGACAATTAATAAAAATATATTTATCCAATGTAAAGTTCGTAGCTATTTATGAAACATAATAACTATGTTAACTCAAGAGAATCACGACAACTCTATGTGAAGCTCTATACTCAAGTTATAAATATTTTGACAATCTAAACAACTATTTATGAATCTAGACAACTGAGAATATAGACTACATCAATGAACTATTAATGGCTATAGACAGGTACCCAGGGCATATCAATCCAGAGACACACATATTAACTCCCCTAGAGCTGTGTAGAGTAGGTACGAAAGGTTAATAATGTTTTTTTATCAGCTCTCGAAATGTCATTATTTGTTTTGCGCGATGATCATCCAGCCAGCCACCATCTGTTCAAACAAACGCATATTAATACAAATTTAACCCAATCAATTATAAATAGTTTACTAATATTAAAGATAACGGTTGTTGAAGAAAACCAACAAGACTAT